TAGAGAAGCATGTCCAACCCATTATCCTCTCCTCATCCATGCCTGTCTCAGTGGATTCTTTCTTCCTGCCAGCATTTTACATTGTCTCTGCAGCTAACAAGGACACAATGGAGTGCAAGTTTATATGAGCGAGTATAAGATCTCAGCAACACCAGTTGAGATAAGATACAAGTACACTTTTTAAACTATTATCTGAATTGCCCGAAACACCGTCCTTTTCTCTCAGCGTATAAAAATTTAAAACTCTAGCTACACTACACAAGAGATCACTTGATGTCACGTTAAACAGCTTTTGAAAGAGCATTTAAATGTAAACAATATTTTTTCATTTATGGTATAATTTTTTATTTGCATTATAATGTCTCTTACAACAACACAGGCTGTAAAACTAAAGCACTGATAAGGGAGTAAGGTATGTATTGGTATTATGTGCTATTTTCTGAGTATATCAATAGTATCAGTATGCTCAAATGCACAGCAGGAAAGAATGTATAAGCACAATAGTAGAAAAAAAACGTATTAAAAGCAACACTAAGTGAATATAACTATGAGTAAGAAGTATTTGTTTGCATGTTATTCAGATACAGACATTTACTGTATTTAAAATTGTTAATAACCTGCCTAATGGTATTTCTTAGAATTGGATTTCTATATATGGTGTTCCAAGATAAACGTGTCATTACAGCCATTATTTCAATGATTTCTCTGCAATGTCTGACAATATCAAAGTTCACATGGGGATGGCCGGGTTGGGGAATAAAGAACATGGGCCATATATGGCGGAAACCTGCAGATGTCTACAGCATATGTAATAGAGGTCTTAAGGTGTTACCTCAATTCAGTTGCAATTTCTGAATGCCAAGAGTAAAACTGTCCCTGTTGCCTAGCCAAATTTGATAATTTTGTACTGTTTGTACAGTATTTTCACCCCGATTTACGGTTCCCTCTTTGGTTACAATAAAGACGTTGTATATTGTTGTGTACATCTACTCAACTATTTTTATTTTATAACAGGATTCCTTAGAGTGCATCATTTAATGTCTTATTAATGTTTTAACAACAGTAAAGTAACTATAATCATTTGAATCTGGAACATTTAAACTTTCTAATTGTATGTTCCTTTCTGTCAATATTCAGAGTTGAGCAGCCACTGCTAAAGATGACTACTGGAGGTACAGTACGAGTATGACGAACGGAATAACATATTAACATATATGTTCTTATTCTACATGAAACATAAAGATATATGGAGTGTATAATTGCTACTCTGTAAAGATATTTATTGTGCAGTTAGTGCAGCTCATCCATACGAGGTGTCACATGGACTCAAGAGACAACAATAATGAAAGACTATATAACTTTGCTCTCTTCATATATTCTATCTGTGTAGTTTTACTAGAACCATCCCTCGAGTGAAGACCCCTCAAACTTCGAGTGGAATGTAAAACAGGTGCTGCACAATTGGTTCCTCCACAGCGGGGGCGAAAGAAAAACAGCCGCCCCTGCAGGAACCTGACTGACAGAACATCACATTCTCCAGCCAGCTGTGTCTCCAGATGATCCTTTACTTACACAGTCAGACTTAAGGGATAACACACACCATGCACACAACGTATTATGCATTCTCATTCAACTACATAAAAAAAAAAAATTCCTCGATAGCATATTTTCTGTTGGATTAGTCTTGATTGCACACTGTTTCTCATAAGACCAAAGATATGCTGATAAAAACAAATTAAATAATCTCAGCTCTTTCCTTGACACCTTGTGTGTTCTTCAAGTGGTGCTGTAACATCTGGCGTGGATTTATACATTGAGATCCTGGCTGGGGATTCAAAGAGAATAGTTTTTAATTGAATCCACTCCGAAGCCTGTGAGACTGAAAAGTCTTCTGGCAAGAACCATCCAATAGATACTCGCGTTGCTTTGTCATGTGACCTGTTTCACAGATTGAAATAGTTTTTTAACTCCTTTAAGCTCCTTTTTGCAGCATGGGCAGTCTTGTCCAGGCAAAGATAATTGCTTTGAATAATTTGCTGTCAAAAATAGCTCAATTCAAAAGATGAAAAACAGTTTTTATTGAAAGCCTTTTCAAAACACTTGCACACAACAGTTGCGGTTGTGGTTTGTTCATGAGTGTCTACTGCTGCCTCCCTTCCACCAGTCCAGCCCTGACCATAGCACATACCAGCACAACACTAAACCTACTGCTTTGCAACAATACACACATTCACAGCCCGCAGACAGCAAATTGCTTCTCTCATTCCCCACCACGCCCTGCCTTCGTTCTCAGCCACCTGCAAAACAAACTGTGCTGGAAATTTCACTACAAATTACCCTGTGTCTGCCAAATCCCCCGGGGAGCAGAGGAAATCAAAACCCTGGATCTCCCTGCCCCCATAGAAACAGACCTCAGCCTCACTCGCACAGAAATCAGGTAGATTGTATTTTTGTTTAGAATTCTAACATATTTTTAAAATAAAATATATAAGATACTTTAATATCTTTGCTGGACTGAATTTTAAAGTTTTATTTGGCATTAAAAGTGGAGACAAGCTTTAAGCTAACCTTTCACCAAAAAGCTCATTCGAATGAAAGTGTCTGAAGGTGAAGAATAGAAACCATATGAAAATTCCCAGTTTACTTTTGTCAACACCAATTTTATGAACAACCCATACTCCCATGGGCTTCAGGTCAACATGACATGGTGAAACTAAGCCTCCCTTCGCACTAAGAAAGAGTGAAATCTGAGACCTGTTTCGCTTCAGGGGAAAATCAAAGGAAGGCACATACCTTAGCAGTGAATAATGATCAACAGCATAAACCAGCAACTTTAACATTATAAGGGCCACAGTGGCTCCTGGTGACGGCCCTCCAGAACTGCCAACAGACAGGAATGTCAGGGATAGAGAGTGAGTCAGTGGCCGATGTGCCAGAGAGATGAGTGTTGAAAGCTCCTTGGAAAAAGGATTAGGGCTGTTTATGTTGGCCAAGTGGCCCACTGCCAGCTGCTCAAGTGTGCAAACTTCTTAAAGCTGCAGAGCTTCGGGTTGGTCATGAATCTTTTCACTATATTTACCCTCCACCCAAGACTGTATGGATGGTTGTGCTTTGTTCGGAGGGAAAGCCCCCTTCGCTTCAGCCCCCACCTCCATAAAAGCACGCTCTACTCCAAAAATGTGCTGGATTCAGAATACCACCCCCCAAAACATACCCATACAACAGTGTGCATAAGTATATTAATTTACTTTCACCTTAAATATACAAGCAAAAGACCACTTAATGTATTTCAGTTGTATTAGAAGAAAAAAGGCAGCAATGTGTCAGCCAAACCTTTCCATGCACTGGCACGTACGGTTTAATACTAATCAGGCACACCATATTTGGACTGTTGGAGGTAAGAATCTGATTATATTAAGGACATCTGTCCTCTACAGGAGCAGACTTGATATGGATTTCATCAAATAAAGAAAGGCAGGGAGTAGAAGGGTCCAGGTTGGAGGTAAAAGAAAAAAATGGAGGAAGCGGGTGGGGGGTTGGGGGGAGGCCCATGTATCAACAGTAGGATAAGACTCAGCCTGGGAGAAGGCAGGGTGCCAGAGCTCTGCGGCCTGGAGCTAGATCAGAGCAGGGTTCGTGAGCTGCAGTTATGAGACGAGGGTCTCAGGTCATGGAATAATAAAAGGCATAGAGTCTTAGAGCTAAACTTCAACTTTTGTTCTAGAGTCTCAGAAAATACTAATATAGCTCGTCTTCCACCCCGTCACTGGTAGGCTGTAGGGCTACTGTTTGATGTAGATGCATATTTAACGCTTATAAAAAATATTTTTTATACATACAGTATATCCACCAACTTCCTAATCTATTCAGATCAGTTGAAAATGTCCCTTGAGGATGTGTCTTAAGGATTTACAATCTTGCCGGTTGTGTTACTGACCGAAATCATATTTTATTTTCTACTTTGTGCTTTGTTTTACTTGAGTGTTCTTTGTTTATTTGTAATTACAGCCGTTGATATTTAAAAACCTGACTGCAGTGTGCAAGGGTGTACAAATGACATGTTTTTAATTCAAGTTCACCCTTTCACTTTGAAGAATAGAGAGTGCTTGACAGGCTTGCCTATGAAGACTGGATTTCCCTCAACGCCAAATCAAGCAAGACTTGGAAAACTGGCATCAATCTATAACCTTCGCATAGTGTTTGTATCATGTAACTCCTCAGCAAATGTTTCCCCAAAATCCCTGTCACATTGCAGTTTACATACTGTATTTGTAGACTTTGGATTTTACTGTAAATACAAAGAGCAAAACATGTCCAAATTGGCTAGCTAACTCTCAACAGGACTCTCTCACATCCATGGGATTGGTGAGATTGTATAATAAACTCCTGACTGACATGTTTGGTTTACTAAACCTATATCACAGCAGTGCTCCACTCCAAGATCTAGTTGCTGCACAGACCTCACTTATCATTACAAACTAACTATTCTGACAGTCATTTGTAATAAAAAAAAATCGATGTCTCAAACCCGATGATCATCCCAGTCTGGAGTTGTCACAAACACACCACAGCAAAACTGTTTGTAAATGCTGCCATCTTTTGGTAACGGTGATTACTGCAACTACTCAAAACAGTAAAATTTGTATTAAAGGAAATGCCAAACTACATCCTATAGCTCCACAATATATATTAAGGTGTATATTTGCTTCCAGTAGTGAGTAGTCTTATCCCAGTACATTATGTTCTGTGTGTATTATCTGAATACACATAAATAAGTGTGATAAGATAATCTTGAAGAAAAACTTACAACACACTGACAACACAAGTGTTACTATTTGGTCATCACCACACATTTCAGTTAATGTTGTGATAAAGTGGTTAGCACATGGAACATGATCAGATATTTCTTCTTCAGTTTCTTGTCTCCACTGATGCTGAACAATGTTCCACTTGTCTACTTGCTTTTAGTGGCACTGAAAAGACAACTGAAAAGAAACTGAAGTGAAATTGTTTTATTTCATATTCATCCAGTTTTTATTGTGTCAGTGGAGTTTTAGTCTTAATACAAAACATTGTGTTTTGTCAGTTAAATATACGAGAACACTTCCGAGACTCTTTCACACTACAAAGTTTGTATTCACGTAGGAACATGCTGAAGAAAAACATTATTGCACATCCATCATGTCAATTCTTCTGCCAAGTGATTTACAAATCGACAAACTTTTGGAAAAATGTGTCAACAAAACAGCTTTTCCCAGTTTCATTAAATTAAAATACAAACCACACAAATTCATCCTCCTTTTAAGGTGGTCTCCACAACCCATCAAACAAGATGGAGCATGCAATACTATATAAACCTGGCAATGAAGTTTTAAGGCACTTTTCTTAAAGCTCACACTTAATTCAGGCAACTGGACACTAAGGGTAATTTTCAAAAAGCAGCACTTTGCATTTCAAAGATAGCAAGGTGACGAATGAACACATACAACCTTACAAGATAAAGTATACTGCACCAAACTCTTACAGTTAACACAATTTACACGTTTGCCACGGCGTTCAGACCCAGAGAGAAGGCATGAGGTGCGTGGCAATAACTTAATGAACACGTAGACACAAAAATTAAGTTACAGCAAACAAGGCACACAAACAACGCTCAAACACATGTCAAACATAGTTTAACCTCGCATGGTTTGGCAACAGGGGAACACAATATATCTCTGATTTCATCTTTTTGTAAATACATTTAAAAAATATATTACTTTATTTGAACATATAAAGATTGCGCCTGATATACAACGCTGATATGTCGACACTTGAAGTGGCACTGGTGGAAAGGCAGGTTGTGGCAAAGCCAACACAGATGATTCCCCCCATAAAAATACATTTTTCGCTGGCAATTATTGTTCTGTTTGTATCATGTGTGAGGAGGTTCAAGGCACAACCATTTAATACCTCAAATTTTTGATAACACCTGAGGAACTGTAATCTCAACAAGAAGCAAATAATCAGGGATTAACAGTAATATTTCAGGAAACTCCCCATGAAAGACAACCATTGAAGTATCTTCCTCAAGCATTGTGGTTATAGTTGAAAAAGTAAAATCCACTGTAGAAAACTAGACACATTGTGGTATTGCACAAGTTAAAATGTTTTGGCTTTATCTTGACTGTCACCTACTTCTGAGACCATCTAACCCAATGATTTTAAAAAATGACTCTGGTGTTCCCGGACTCAAGTCTGCACTATCCTGGTTCTTGAAAATGCTCAGGTGCTCATGTAACATGGCCTGTCAATGAGGCATTTGAAGAGGTGGTCGATGACTGTGAAGCACCACTAGCATCTGTTGGTAAGGCCGCTCCGTTATCTTTTGTTTTAAAATAAATGACATAAAATAATGGCAGGACGATGCCTATCAGGAGCATGGCAACTACAGCGTTCCACCACTGGATGCCCCAGTCTGCCCCGTGACCGGTCAGGCGCTGTCCTCTGGAACCAAACTGTTGCCGTTTCTCTGAGCTGTCCAAGAAATCCTCATCTTGATCGTTCGTGGTCTGAATCAGTTTCTCAATATCATGGTCCACCTCCATTAGAAAGTCTGTGACCTCCTGTAGATGTGGCTGGGCTCTGGCTCTGTCCTGAGTCTTCACTGGTTTGTGGGATGAATACGGCATTTCTTCTTGAGAGTCACTTAGGCCCGGGTAAGTCTCTGTTAACATGCTGTGTTTCTTAACAGGTATTTTGATAGATTTCAGTGCAAATAAATCTTGTTCCTGCATAAGGTTGTTCACCCGCTTTATGTCTGCCACCTGTTAACAGAAACCGGAATGGAGGTGCATAGATGTCAACACTTAATATGCCACTGAACAGATCGACAGCAAAAAAACAGTGACTATCAAAAAGCTTTACCTTGCAGCCATATTGCAGAGCAAGCTTGTTGAGACTGTCACCATCCAACACCTCCCGTTCCAGCAGCTGAACGTTCCTCAGTCTGTCAAGCTCCTGCTCTTGGAAAATCCACGGCCTCATCTCCATAACATTGAGCTCCTCATCATCTGAGGACTCATTCGGCCTCCTGTTGAACATGTAAACCTGGCCATCTGCACTGGCATGGACATCCACTGGGGCCTGGAAAGCCCGTGGAGCGTGCTCCCCACGCCGCATAATGAAACGCCAGCCTGTAAGGAAAGTCCCAATTTCAACATTATAGCAGGGATACAATTAAAGATCACACACGAGAGCTTTTTTTTTTAAAAAACATTAACTCCCAACTCAGTATCTTGTATCTCCGCTCCACTGCACTGTGTAACTGACCTATGTTGAGAATATTTTTTAGGTGTCTTAATTGATGTAACAGGGAAAGGTAAGACAGGTCTAGCTTAGAGTAATTTAGCTGACCCCATAAGTTCTTGACATTATAGCTTTAGGTATTTCTCACATGTACTTGTCCTTGTCAAGAAGACAACAATAGACTGATTAGCTAGAGACAGTAGCTCAGACGTCAGGCTAGCAGATATCAGTGTTCTCTGGGAATCTTACAAGATTAAGTCCTACAAGAACTCACTGGCTCCACAGATTAGAGTACAACTAATGGATAGTGAGAGATTCCAATATAACAAAGCATTGGAGTCTAAACATCAGATAAAAGTTGTTCTAGGTGAAAGGTGAACTAATAGAGAAACCTACAGGCACTAGATGGGAAGACAGAAACATAAAAGGGACCACAAGATGTTATCCTTCAGATTTGGTGTTGGCATTTGACGTGTTCACATGTTGTATGCTGGCACTGTATCTCCTCGGCCGGGCTCAAAAAACCATGCTGTGTTGTGCATGTTAAGTCTTCATCAGTCTACGAAACTTCTTCACACCTCAACCTGGCTCACAACAATATCATTTCAACAACCTGGGGTTTTCTTTCATCATTCTTTCTGAGAAGACTCAATTGTTAAAAGTAGGACACCTCGTCAACCAAGATCAAATTATACAATTTTGTTTGGATTCAACACACAGTCATGGCCTTATAGGAGGTGTATTTGTTGAATGCTGAAAAGTTGTTTAGTCGGTCATGTGGCAATTGGGAGTCCAGCAATTTATTAAACACACATTATCAGTTATCAACACAAAGTAAAAGTTGCCAAAAGGTGGGCAAGCATTCCTATTGCAGCCCAGTATTCATGTTAAATAAACCTAACATTAGGCCCCACAGTGACATCATAAATCTGTCATCAATCTCTCTAGCCCTGACATATCATGCCTTTATTCTGCCTTTGAATCTTACACTCAACCAAGCAAAGAGCAGCTACTTGGTGGCTTGACCTGGCCTTCTATCTACATTGTATCTGCTTAGACTAAACTGCAGTGGCCTCAATAAGCATCTGAATGACATAGCCCAATCAGCCCACTCACTATTACTAAGTTAACTGGAGATACCTAACACTTGTTTATTTATAGCCACTAGTCAGATATAATAAACTTTTTATGAGTCATGTCTCTGGACCTTTGTCTTACCAAAGAAAATAGCTTGAAAATACATTTGTGTGTGAATTTAAGAGTGCAGGAAAGTTTCCATGGTCATCGTGTGGGCACCCTCTCAATGACTACACAAAACTACAATGGGTTTTTTTTATAAACACGTTCATTTTAACATTGGTGATCATAAAAAGCTTTTTAAAAAGTACAGTTGATAAACAAAAATCTATATATGGTTAATTGTATGGATCACCTCCTCCCTTGACAATTTCATACTAATGACTCTGACTGTTCTGCTTTGCGTTCGCACCACAAAAAGCACGAGTTCACTTGCGGGCCGATAGTTTTGTCCGGGTTTGAACAGCTCAAGTTACAGCTTTCATACCAACCTTAACGAACCAAAGCCAACAGTAAAACGCTCGTTTAAACCGCACTTTGCAGTGACAACACACGAATCACTGACGTTATAACTTAGATAACGTTTAATTACTAACGGTGGGCATTTATCTGTATTTTACTTAACGTTAGTAACTTATCCAAACTAAGTTAACTCTAGTTGCCTTACAACAGATGTTTTTATCAAACTGAAACATTTAATTTATTCAAACAGAAAATATTGACGCCAAAATACGGAAAGCTGAGCAAGCCGTTGGCTTCAAGGAGCACTTAAATACAGCATTAACCTTAGCCAACGGGCTAACGGCAGCTAGCATATGCTAACAGGTTAGCTTTTGACACTCAGCGTGTGTTCACCCAACTATCGGCACCATGGCAGAAAGCAAGTCAGCCAACTGTTTTAGCCAGCTTTTGTATTTGAGACCACATGGACAAATACTACTTACAGGAAAGGCAGTTTCACAGACCGATTTAAACTAAGACTGCTCTGTTACCATCTAGTTACCTTATCCAAATGCTTTGGCAACACTAATACAAGCCAGCGCCTTCCCAAAGCTGTCCTCCCCAGCTTGACTTGCTAACATTGCAACAACAACTGGTGGCGGTGGCACTAGCTTCTGTTTAGCGTACGTCTTCTTCGTTTGTATAAAATAGGGTGGCGCAAGATATGCACTACCGCCACCCACTGGAACAGAATATGACACAATCAATGAGCACGTGACACAGCATTGACAACAATAACAACAATCATTTTTATATCCAAAGAACAAAAAACCTCAAGGGACATGATAATGATGATGCCAATGATTATATTGTTTATGTTATTTTATTTGTGTTGTTGTCATCTGCCTTGTGTGATAATGTGGACATCACTGCTGCATAAACATTTAAAGGTTTTTCTATCTATGTGACCACTGCACGTGTTCACCTTCACATACCAAACCACTGAAAGTGGCATTTTTAATCTGATACATAGGCTTATCTGATGCCCCCCCCCCTTCCTCCTAGACACACACACACACACACACACCCACCACCACCACCACTAGATCTCAGAATATAAAATATGTGCACAATACATACTAAAAGTAAAATAATACACACATCAATGCAACAATTTATTAAATGGCTTACAATCTGCACTAAAAATGAGTCCACATTACATAGTTTAGAAAATATCACTATACAGTTTCTTTTCTTCGTTGTTCATACACTGGAGGACAAACCCTGAACCCAAAACTGAGGTGTGTAATACAAAAGTCAAAACTCTACTCTATGTCTGACATCTGTTGGTAGAAAGTCATCATTACATCTAAGCCATTGAAGTACAGTAGCTGTCAGTTTCCCCCCTCTGTAAGTTACTCAGGGGGAAAAAATCCAAGAGGTTTTTAGAAAGGTCGGTGTAGTGATGGTGCAATCTTTGACCAATAGATGGGGCTATTGATCTTTCATTTCTATTGTCATTTGTTTCCTGTGAAGCAGCTGATCTGTTTATCAGATGAAGCTGATGCAGAGGGGGCTTTGGCAGGGGTGAAGCATTGTTTTTTAATTCCATTCTGTCATTGAATGCTATTGTTAGTTGGTATAGTATATTACGTTTGGTAGTTAATCCCAAAAAACTACAGCAATGGTTAATCATCAGGTGGATGCTGCCCCCAAAATAGAGTAGGCCCGGAGTCCAACAGTGCATGAGCAAGATGCAAGCAAAGCTCAAAGAGATAACCTGCAATCTGTCCCATGCATGGCAAGTAGCCTACTATCAGGAACAAGATATGAGCCCCATCAATAAAAATTATTAAATCAGCTCAGTTACAGGACTAAACACCATGAGCTGAAACCATGGTCAGCCTGACATTGTGCTATACTGCTCAGTCCATGTTGTTGACATATTGTTCTGACCCGTGTATACTACTGTTTTTACCCTGTGAAGAACTTTGACCAATGCAATTTCCCAGACAATAGCATTAAGTTTATCTTAAGTAAAAACAACGTTATTTCTCCAGGAGTAAAGGTCCAATGCCCAGCTCATGATGCATAACAAACCCACCATTCAGGAGTGACTGATGTATCCAGCAGAAATTGTTTTCAGACTTTTAGTTGATATTTCAGCTCAGGTTATGCTGGTACATCCAGCTTACAGCGATAGACGTATACACAAAGTATGTTTTCCTGTATTAGACACATCAGAGAGCATAAACTGTCAGGGTTACATACAGTATAGCCTGCTTAAAGGTGCCTGTGGTTTTCTTTAAACATTTATTTCAAATCCACTGTTAAAAAACAGTAAGTAAAATCAAAACCGAAGCTAATTTGGTCACCAGTTTATACCCTTATTTCATGCTACAAATAAATGTACTTCTACATTAGGCCTAAACAACCAGAAAAAAGTTAGTTATCAAGGCCATCACCACTGATTTTCATCACTTATACTGAAATACAAATACACAAATGATTTACACTTCAATTTGTATTGTCAAGACATAATTTACACTATAAATAGTGAACAGGTGGTATTGAACTTGATGTAGGTTAAGGTAGTGGGGAGGGGGCTGTATATATATATATATACATAGATACATGTACAAAGTAGCTTACAGAATTGTGACTCCGGGGCACATATATATGAACATGAGAACGACATAACACTTACCAGCACATTAAGCTGTATGTCTGGAAGGGGTTTGAGGCCTAACTCAGACTAATTCTCTTCCACTTTACCTACTATTAACCTTACCAAAGGAGCAGTGTGCAGTAACCCCGCCCCGCACACAGCTGCTTCAGTGCGCAGGACAATGTGGTAAGCAAATTATGATTTTACGTTAACATTAGTTAGCATTAATATTTGAATAAATGGCCCATTGTCGACGATGAAACATTGCTTCTTCCATAGTCATAAAATGTTAACGTACCTAAATAAAGTTAGCTACAGTGATGTCAAAAGTGTTTACCTATTTAACTTAAAGATACATTTTATGAATTCATAGCTAGCTAAAGTTAGCTAAAACCGAATAACTGTTAAGGGGAATGTAATGTAATGTAATCTGGCCTATTAGCTTAAAAACTCCCAAGTTTAGCTCAAAAACGTTAGCTTAAATGTTGCTATAAAATAGTTAGCCACTACTACTGTTAGCTGTGTTATGTTGCAGGTATTTGTGGGGATGTTGAGAAAAACGCTCTATCACAAGCAACAGTACACTTAAACTAGACTTTGTTGTTAATCTGACTGGATGCATGGGGGCATTACCATAAGTTATAGGTGTCAAGGCCCACATATCATTATAAAACGTTATATAGCATTATTGTTTTAAACTGTTGTAGCAGCTTTCCTAAATGTACACAGACACTCATCAGTTATACTTGGATTAGTATAAATTAGTGAATTTTTTTCACATGACTGCATCCCCATCATCAAACATGCTTATGAAAGACTTGGATTTCCAAGATTTTGGACGTTTCTGATATAGAAAGTAATTTAGGGATATCCTGGAAACATTATGTTAGCCCCCAGTCCTTACCCAAATCATTTTAATACAGACTTGTGTAAGTTTTAGTGGCTGTGACTCAGGAGGTAGAGCGGGTTGCCTGTTAATCCAAAGATCGGTGGTTCAATCCCTGGCTCCTCCAGGCTGCATGTCGAAGTGTCCTTGGGCAAGATACTGAACCCCGAATTACCCCTGGTGCCTGTTCCACCAGTGCATGAATGTGTGTGAATGTTAGTTTCAGTTTTTTTTTTTCTTGACTTTTTATTTTGACCTATTACAGCTGAGGGTGAGATGGGAGTGGATTTTCACTCCTGTCCCATCCACTCCCACAAAAATATTTCTCTTCTTTCTCATCCCAGTCCCAGAAGAATGACTCCCGTCCCCTCCTGTTCCTGATTAAATAGCATTTATTCATATTAGAACTGCATATTTGTATAAAAACTGATATATGATTCCCTTCCAGCCCACTCCCATTGACTTTTTTTCATGTCCCATGACCGTCCCAGTCCCGGGATGAAAAGTGAAAATGACTCCCATCCTGCAGAAATCCAAAAATATCAGCGTTTACTGCACATTGTATACTTGCCCATAGTATGCCAAGTCTACATTAAAATTAGGGAATTGGTTTAATACTTGACAGCTGAATAGCTGTATTTGAAATATAATAAATATGAATATTTTGTATAGTGTCCTACCTTATTTTATTGTATATGTTGGTACTTTAGCATGGTGGTTTACAACGCTGTGTGTTTCTTGTGTCTTTTCAGAGCACTGTAGGACAGTTAATTGACTGCAGCAAACAATGGATTGGAAATAGATTTGGGCTGATATAGCTAATATTGATCCATCAAAATGTCCCTTGATTGGCCTTGATCCCAATCTGGTGAATCCGATCCACACCATCCACACGTGCATCGTGAAGATCTGTGTTTTCCAACTGGTCTAGCCTCAGGGTCCACATATCTCCTTAGTTATTAGGTCACACCCCACAAATACAGTAGACCAACTTAACACCCAGTCAGCTTTCTTTGTATGCTGTATACTGTATTTTAGTACTTTGCCCACGGTCAAGTCACTCTGTAATAACAAACAGTTTTTAGTTGTTTTTTTTGTAGAAGGTTACCCTATAGTTATTAAATTATACAAGGTGTGTGCGGATGGAGGTTAACTGAACACTTTCAATTATGAAAACTTTACAAAAGCCATACAACTGTTCTTCCTCGGATTTGTAACTTTATGCAATTTTTTTTGTGAGGTGTGGCCTACAGAGCATGACAGTGATATTGATACTCATCAATACAGGTGCAGTATCAGTGGGAAGAGGATGAAGAAACAGCCATACGGAGAGAGATGGCTGAACAGGTGAGAATATACAGTAGACTGAACTGTAATGTTATCTAATATGGCAAATACCTGTGACCTGATTAGTCGCTACAATGTACATCTCCTTTTGTAATCATATCAAGTGAAAGAATAAAATAAAAAAGTTGTTAAAACAGACATCAGAATTTCAGATGGAGAAAGCGAACGATGATGTTGAAGTTATATTGTCATCATTGCGCATGGCTAATTGAATTATGCCATAACCAAACCACAAACATTCAAGAAAGCACTTTTTCAGTGGAACCAGTTTTAGACGTTGGTGCTAGAGGAAGGGACATGGAAATTGACGCTGGAAGAGATGTTGGACATAAGGGTAAAAGCAGTACTTAAAGGAATGAGTACATGTTCTGTTGAAGTTGCAATTGTCCATACTGTAGAGCATTTTTCTCTTGTCTGGGCGGTTTTTGTCCCTGCGGAATGTACATTTTAATATTGTGAACATAATATAATCTTGGTGAAATGTATCACCAAGGCAGAATTAAGGCCATATCAGGGTAGAACATAGATTACTGTAATAATCTCTTGTGTCACACGCTCTTTGTGTATCTGTGGTTTATGTGTGGTGTGTTGAGAGATACCGCGTAGAGATTGCAGGAACTGTGAACTGGGGGTCTAGTCTTTTCTGCTATAGGTTAGTGATGCTGGTTGTTATTGATGACAGTAAAGAAAACATAAAGCAAGGCTCAACTGTCTTCTGCTTTTCAGTAACACACATGCTGCTCGCTGTGAT